AACTATCAACCCTAAGGGATATAAGGATCTCTCCTAAATCAAAGATCTCCAATGTTCTTTAGCAAAAAATTTCTTTCCAAATTCATTATGACTCTCCCTTCTCCAGGAAAACGATGCATTTTAGAAAACACTAAAAAAACTTCTTTAGTTTTGAAAAACCCTTATTACCTGTTGTCATGATATATATTTATACTAATATCAAGAGAATAATCTACATACTTAGTTTCTCCTAAGTTATCTAATCTTCCACAACAAAAAATTTAGCTACTAAATGTCATTTATCAGTAGTTGGATTAAGAAATATACCTTATTTTCGAACCAGACTCTGATACCAGTAATTGAATTTGGCAGCGAAATTAGGATCAGAATTATAAGTATTTTATGGTAGAAAGAAATCAGAGTATATATAAACCTAGTAATTGAATTTGGCAATGAAATTAGGATCATAATTATAGTATTTTATGGTTGAAAGAAAGCAGAGTATATATAAAACTTTGGTGTATTCAAAAATTATGTGCTTATAAAGGAAATAAAATTCACTTTATATAGGGACACAAAGGTTTACTATTTAAGCCGGTATTAGCTACCTATGATAGCCGGTTATAACAAATAAAGATGGATTATTAATGTCGGGTACTCTCTGGATCCCATCGACACAATAATAATTCACAGACAATAAAATACTTTCTAAAGTAAAATCAAATAAGATTCTCTCTTATCTATATTTTATTGTTTCAAGATAAGATTCCCTCTTATCTTTGTTTATAGTTTCAAGACAAGATTCCCTCATATCTTGGTATTTGGCATTATTGCTTCTAGACAATTCTTGTTATTGCTTTGTCCCTTGTCATTATTTAGCCTTGGCTTTTTCTTTAGCCTTTTGGGCCATAAATTGAATCATAGCATCCCAGGAGTCTTCAGCTATGGGGTCACTATTTTGAGCTTCGTCAGCTAAACCTTCAAAGGTGTTGGAATCTATTGATCCCATGGATGAGCTGGTCTTCATAGATTGCATATCATCTTTTGAAGCTTGAGATTGGAAAGTGTAGAAGAATTGAGTCTTCATACGATCCAAAGTCCTAACCATAATTTCTTCTTATGTTTCGTTGGGATACTTTCTTTGAAAAAAGTTTTTCAAGTTTCCCATAGATATTTGTTGGGAGTTTTGGTATCTAACATTGTTATTTTTGTCTTCACTCATGGCTAATTTGATTAGAACAATTTTGTTATGGATGTCTTCTAAACTTATTTTATTCCACCATTTATAGAAAATATTTCTTTCTAGAATTGGGATATTAAACTTGTCACTGGAAATAGTGATAGTCCATCTACAAATCCAAGGAATTTGAAACTTAGTGAAGAAAATAAATGGACATTGTCTAGTTATCAAATTTGATGAAATATTTAACACTAGTGGACTATTTTCGCACCAAAGAGTATACAATTCATTTGAGTGAAAGCCTGAACATAGTCCCAATAATTGAAATAAATATATTTTCCTTCGGAAATGCTTATTGCCTTTTCACCATTAGGGTTAAGACCCCATTCTCTGGGTGATAAAATCTTATTAATGTGGCATTTGCTGAAGTTTATGAAACTTTCAGGGTTGTTGTTCTGATAATATCTCTAAATGTGGTCTTGATTTACCATGAAGTCCTGGATATCCTCTTGATTCGAGGTATCTTGTTTTGATAGCCCATCCATCATTTGGATTTATTTTTAGATCCTCGTCATCAATATACATAATTTTTTCTGTAACCGGATTCTCAAAATAATCAGTTACTTGCTCTTGAGGTGGGTCATTGACCGTAATTTCTTTGTAAGATATAATCTTTTTAGAAGATGAAGAGGAAGGTATATCTTCCTTTTTTGAGGTAGGTAATTGTTGCATGTTTCTGCCTTTATAGACTGTAGTCCAATCTCCTATAAGGGGAATATTTAATTCATTTTGGGTAACATATTGTTACTCCCTCTTCCAAGGCCTCGCCAATAATCACGACATCTTCCTCCCCTAGATGGGGGTGTTATTTTTTCCCTGCAAAAATTCATGGGTGAGGTAATCAACAAGTGAATTATTTTCACCTTTAATATGTTTAATATCAAATTCAAACATTGATAATTGAGATTGCCAGCTAGCAAATATTTGCTTTGCAACAAGATTTTTAACATCTTTTTCAATAATTGATTTAGCAGTGCTGCAATCAATTTGTAATAAATTTTTTTATTAAGTAAATCATCTTGAAATTTCGAAACACATTTTATAATAGAAAGCATTTTCTTTTTGATAGTCGAATATTTTGACTGAGTAGGATTCCATTTACCAGAGGTAAACCTAACCAAAACTTCTTTAGATGTTTCAGGTATAACCCTTTTTTAGAATTCCTCCATATCCTAAGTTTGAAGCATCAGTTTCAATAATTTTAAAATACTTAGGATTAGCCAGAGATAAGCAAGTCAAACATTTAACTTTATTTTTAATTCTTGTGACTGTTTGAAAATGTTTATCAGTCCAAGGGCCAGGATTTTTTCTAATTGTTGCAAATACTGCATGGAACGTGACTAATGTAAGTGATCTGACATTTTTGAGGTGGCTGAAAACTCCTTGGCCTCTTACAGTTTTATTTTTGTTTAAAATATAAGTTAGTTATACTTGTGTACATGATTGTTGATCTCTTTTTTTTTTTGTCTTACTTTAATTATTCTCCCTCTGGGTGATTAAATTTTTTTATTTAGGATCATCTAAGGACTTACTGAAGGCATGATTTTTGACTTGACATTTATTTTGAAGTTCGTGGTTTTCTATGGTTTACTCATTAGTTGTTAGAATAAGTTTTTCAGAAGTTTATGTATCTCTTAACTCTGTATTTGTGGTTCGGGAGCTAATTTTTGTATGATTTTCGATATATTTTATTTCCTTTGTATTAGTTTGTGTTGGATATATAGCAAATCCAATATTTGAACATATATTTTTAATCCATTAGCATGTATTATGTTTGGGTGATGTCTTATGTTTGATGTATAGTAAATAATATTTATAAAGAAAAAACTTGAAGATGATGGACTACTGAATACTGATCGCATATGATTTTTTATTTTGGAAAATGTAAAAAATTGTGGCGGTCTTAAACGCCGTCATTTACTTTTCAAAAATAGAAAAAGTCAAGATTGTGACAGTTCAAACTTCCATTATTTACAAAAGAACGCTATTATACTAAGTATATTATGTCAGTCAGTTTGTGTGGCATTTGATAGGAAACCACTATTCAAAACCTATCAGCCAAATTAATGATGTTTATGGAAAACGTCATTTTCATAAATTGTGTTGCTTGAAACAACCATAATAGTACTTTTTAAACCCCTTAATTTTCCTATGTTTTGTGTAGTGGAAAGGAACAAAAAAAACATAAGCGTTATTGTAATGAATAAACAATCTCAAAATAAAATCTCCTTGACCACAAATTCACCCAAGTATTCCTTTATCCCGCTATCTTCTCCCTGATCTAGAGTTATCACGGCACGATAACTCATGACATTAGAGTCATCCAACAATTGAACCACTTCTTGCTCAATTGAGGGAAGTTAGTCAAAGTTAAAGGCAATTATGATCTTCAGACCTCTTGTCTATGACGATGGGAAGAGAGGGGCTTTATTCGCCCCAACTGTGATCGCAGGGAGACACTCTCGACCTCTAATCCTCACAAACTTGTCCTTGTAATTTTTGTAGGATATTGAGTGGGGCTTGAACAATTTTCTTCCTGATAAGGCACATTACAAAAACCACCTAATTTTGGGGTTGATTAAGGTATCATAGAAAAAGAGGAGTACCCCAATGGTTGGGAAGACTTCCAATTGTCGACATTTAATTTTGAACACCCTATTCACACTCTTGACGTTGGATGTAACCTGAGAAGAATCAGTGTTTCCAGTCTCTTGAAATTAATCTTCAAACAACATGAAGGGTGTTAATACCCCTAAATCTTGAACGATAAAGATGTACAAATAAAAGTAAGGGGCAGGCGACCATCCAAGACGACGATATTGGTCCTCTCCTCCACAAAACACGACTCCCAAATAACGTCATCTTCGTGTCCAATGATGGAAATTCCAATATTCCACCAAAAGAAAACGATTCTCTCTTCATTAGAGTATATAGACACAAAGTCTTTGATGTTGAAATATTTAACATCTGTTTCCGCCATTGGTTCTTGAAAAAACAAGAGGAGTAAGAAAATCACTATCAAAACTGCTAGTTCTCTCATGACTCTCAAAGGTCTAAACTCACGACGACATTACAAATCCACTCCTTAGCATATTAAAAACCTTAACGTTCACCATAAAGAGAAAAATGATGAAAACTTAGGAAGGTGAAAATTTGAAGAGAAAAAAAGGTAATGGGAAAAGATGAAATCCTTTTATAGGAGTGAGAAGTCCAATCTTAAGGGTAATCAACATGAACCTCCCACTAGGCATCCCAATAACTAAAAAATATCCCCCACGTTAGTGACACACATAAGAATTAAGGCTAAATTGGTTCTCAATACTGAATCATCATCGATCGCATTTAATATTGCACATGCTTTTTACCTTAACTAATATTTGGAAATTTCCCTCAATTGCCGTTTGACGATTTACCTCATTGGCACTTGGAGATTTATCCAATGCTTGAGGAACTCACCTCATGCTTGAAAGACTCGCCTCATGTGTGAGGTACTCCCCCTGTGCCTGAGGGACTCGTCCATATAAGAAGGGTAAACAAAATTAAATCACTTTACATTTTCCATGCCAGCGTTTTTGAGAAGCCATGTATTAGTATATTTGTAAAGGATCAAAAAGAGGATAGGAGATGAAGTAACATGCCGATCATTTATTTCACACGCACACACTTGAAATATATGTAAGTCAAATTTATTAAAGTTCTAATTATTTTCTTAGATTTTAACACCATAACTCATGCCACTTAAAGCTGGATAGAATATTTATTTTAACTAATCCTAATTATATTAAGTGGTAGCATGCATCAAGGGAGTGTTGGGGGAGAGTACAGATGAATTCTCCTCAATTTTCATGGTGATCTTTGAGTCCATAGTTCTGTTGTTTAGAAAATTTGAATACCACACAGAAGAAAGTTTAGGTTGTCTCCTCAAGGTTGGATCTTTCATATCTATGTAATATAAGCCAAAACTTATTTCATATCCATATAGTAACTCAAACACATCCAAAAAAGACCATACAAAGTAACCTTTTATATTAAATCCATTCCTGTCAATGTTAAAAGAAACACATAAGAACAATATTTTCACTAGTATTTGGGTGAATATTAAGAATATTGGTAATGAGTACTTGAAAAGGAAAATAGAGGTACCTCAACATATCAAGGAGGCTCCCTATGTATACATGCATACACTCCATTCTTGACCAATCATCTAAAGATGAATTCCTAAATGTTTGTTGACCTTAGAAATTCAAAGATTCATTGTAGTCCATGGAGATGTTGATATTATTGATAAAAGTTTAAGTAAAAATAGACTAGGCCAAATTTTCAAAATGTGCTTGTAATGGAGACATACCATTTTCATGAATGTAAATTGGAAAATTGCCATAATCATTCTTCAATGAGTGAAGCTCCCCTTCCAAAATCTCTGGTATAACTGGAATCTAAGCAAACCAATCACCAGTGAGTGCAATAGGTTATAGCTTCAATGATGAAAAATAAAAGGATTTTCAAAGTTCATACTCTATTTTTACCTCATATGGAGATGTACCATTTCCAAAGTATACTACAAAAATGAGGGAAAACATTAATAGATGAAAATTCCTCAAAAATAGACTAAAGTGGCATAGAATAATGAGACATTTATGGAAATGTTAATTTTTTAACCTAAATATATAACTATGTAATCAAAATTGGTATACAAGAATAATCATACGTATAAGCTCCGCAGCCATGTCTGATGTGTAATCTCTATCCTTTTTCTGCAAGCTTTTTGCGTTGTTTTTAACATAATATGCATAGTAAAAATTTATTCCAAGGAAATCAATTGAACCCTTAACCAAATTTGATTCCTTGGAGGTGAAGTAAGGAAGCCTTGAGCCAACATTCTTTTTCATTACGTCTGGATATTCTCCGAAAATGAAGGGATTTAGAAACCTGTTACAATAAAGTAAAAAATCAAGTTTATTACAACAATAACATATTTAGAGATAGATATCAGAATGAAAATGTTACTTACCACCCAATATTGAAGTCTCTGGCTCTTTGAGTAGCAGTTATGTCTTGAATTGTATTTGTTAGTGGAAGAAAACCCAAAACAATGAGATTAAAACCGATAAATCCCCTTTGCTTGGCCTGCAAGTTATCATAAGTAGCATTTATAAAGAAAAGATACGTTGATTATCGTTGTGAAAATGATATCATGATTATTCAATATTGTCAAACAGTGGCTATAGCATAGTGCACAATAACACTAGCATATTTGAATATAAACAAATCATTCAAGTTCTTTAATACATTCGTAAAGAAAATGTTTTCAAATATAAATTATAGCGAGAGTATAGCGTTACCACGTTGTACCAACCTAGAATTTTAACAAATGACTATTTTTTGCAATTGACAACATTGTAACTATATTACCAAATGTGAAAAGCTTTAGATGTGTGACAAAGTAAAGCGATTCATGTGCCACACGCTGGCTTACCTTGTACTTTGTCCTATACAGTTTTGCAGCTGATGCATGCGCTAACAACATATGATGAGTTACTAAATATGGCTCAGTTGAAGAATTGCCTTTGGAGCAGTTAAATGTAGAGGAAGATGAACACCTTTGAGGCTGTAAAACTCCCGAACCATATCCCACAATTGAACACGCATTTCCTTCATTCACTGTAGTCCAATGTTTAACTCTATCTCCAAACTCTCTAAAGCAGACATCAGCGTATGCCGTGAAGTCTTTTCTGCATGAAAAGATAAATAAATATTCAAATATTAATTAGACAAAGATTACTTTTCCTATTGTGTTAGATATAATTTATGTTAACTCTGAACTACTATGTAACACAATATGGCCATGTTATTAGACAACTTAAGTTTGAGAACCATACATAATTCTTCGGCTAACCCATCCTTCATATTCATCTTCAAGTGTTTGTGGTAGATCCCAATGATACAACGTAACATGTGGTTGGATTCCTACAAATGAAGGAGGGAAAAGAATAACTACGTAATTCTGAAGAACTTCTTTTATGGTGTTAATTAGACTTAGTGTTGTCAAATAGTAGTTATAGAAGTGCTATAATGTATCAAATCTTGAACCAAATGTTATTGTTCCTCGATACTCCATTTAGTATAAAGTGTTGTCAATTCGAACCTTTGCTCACAAGTTCATCGATAAGGTTGTTGTAATAGTCCAATCCCTTGAGATTTATTGGCCCTTTCCCATCTAGTATTAGAATGAAATCTAGGTCAGAATTACAAACATTCAATGCAAGAAGCTACAAATTTTTTGATGCTCTTAAAAAGATTCATTGATTGCACCAGAATCAAACCAAACCAAGTACAATCAGCTTTTTGAAATTATTTTACAAATTGGTCTTAATTCTGATGACATACAAGGATATATTTGTAACTTTTTGTGAATGATACCTGGAATAAGTCTTGACCATGATATAGAAAATCTATAGGCATCTAGGCCCATTTTAGCCATGAGTTTGACATCATCCTGCATAAATATGTAAACCAATATTAATATACAAATAAATAATTAGAGGTCCTTTTTGGTACAAATTATTTCTTAGGTAAGGAAGATTAACATAAAACCAATCTTCTGATATGTTAAAGATACAAAACTTGATATACTCCACGGGAGGAATATATTAGATGTTTCTAGAGCATACCTTATATTTGTGATATTGATCACATGCAATGTCACCATTTCCCTTGGATTTCCCTCCTGTCACAATTAGAAAACTTCAATTGTAATTTCTCAACCCCAAACCTTGGACTACATGCAACTTGCATAATAATTGTTTTGATTTTCTCTACCCAATATTCTATAGCTCTAGCTAGAGATTCTTATTTATTTTCTGGAAACACTAACAAATTGAAGATACTAGTATGAAGCATATATATGAAACAGATAAATATGAAAGAGCACCATTGTCAGCGTATGCATAGGTATCCCATATGCTTGGTTTCCTTCCATCTTCATTTGCTGCACCTTCAACCTTTCATGTCATCCCAATTTCAAAATAGAGAAGTAGCTTTAGAATCAAAATAGTTGTATAGTAAATATTGATTTCAGATGAAAGTACAGGAGGATAACACCTTTGTGTATGTGTAGTGTAGTAAGTGTATCATGTGGGAACTGCTAGAATCAATTGTAGTTTGTTAAAGGCAAATGACCAAACCCGTTTAATATTTAAACTCGGTTAGTAACTTTTTGTAGTCATTAAACTTTATCAATTCAACCATCAAATAACTATTTGGATTTTATCAAATAACTTCAAACGTTAATGCCAACTACAAAATTACATGACTAAGAATGTCTATCTTAACTGAATTGTAGTGTGAAAGATGGTTAAAACAATATGAGGATATGTGCTTTAGGACAACCACCCCAATCTTGTAAGAAACAAGTGTCTCAAAAAGGGATGGATAGAGATGCAAACCATAGTGTAGGGTGCCCTGAAGATAATGGAGGATGTGTTTGAGGGCTAGCATGTGGTTGGTGCAAGGAGCATGCATGTGAAGACAGACCTATTGGACAACATAAGAGATGTCAGCGCATGTCAATGTGAGATACTGCAAGGCTTATGCAAGACTCGGATACAAGGTGGGATCGTCATATGCAGTACAGGCAGAGGTGTCAAGCTTTTTCTAGTGTCAACTGGAGTAGCAGAAGATTTGCACGATGCCATGTCAGCTCGAGCAATAATGTCACCAGCATAAGTATTCTAATTAAGAAAGAGTCCATCGGCATGACTGGTCACAACAATGCCTAAAAAGTAACTCAATGAGCCCAAATCCTTCATAGCAAACTCCAAGGAAATGAGTGTCATGATAGATTTACGAAGGTCATGGGAGGAGGTGATGAGGATGATGTAATCAACATAAAGAAAGATGTAAGCCATGTGAGAGCCACGCCGGTAGATGAAGAGTGAGTGATATGAAGTGTTATGTTGAAATCCAATAGTGGAGACAAAGTCAGCAAAGCATTGGTACCGCACGAGACACTTGCTTCAGACCATGGAGGGATTTTCGCTAACGGTGCATTGATAGTGCTTTTTTACATTCAATTTTCCATTTTGAGATGAAGTCTGAAGACAAAAAAAATGAAAAATAACTCCATTATCAGCACAATATTTATGAAATAATGTATTGTCATATTCACGTCCATTGTCACATTGAAAGCATTTGATAGATTGGGAAAATTGTGTGTAAGTTTGATTAGAAAGAGAAGTGAACTTTTCGAAAACTTGAGATTTGTTACTTATAAGAAATGTCTACAAGAAATCAAAATAATCATCCAGGAATAAAACATAATACCGATGACCAGAGAAACTTAAAACTGGTGATGTCCATACATCATTGTGTAAAATATCAAAGGGAATTAAAGTAACATTTTTGGATGAATCAAAAGGAAACCTAACATATTTTCCAAACACACAAGAGTCATTAATATTTTTGGAAATTAAATATTCTTTACTAAGGAAATTATTTTAATGAAGGGACTATAAAATGGAGGATCTTGGATGACCAAGACGACTATGCCAGAGATCGGAAAGAAGCCTGGAAAAATGAGAGGGAGAAGTGAGTAGATAGAGATTGCCAATGCTATTGCATCTCATGAGAGGAATCCCTGTCTGAAAGTTAGTGACAGAAAAAGCAAATGGATCAAAGGGAAGAAAAACGTTATTGTCCGTAGTGAATTGTCAGACATAAATCAAAATTTTAATAATATGTGGTGTGTGTAAAACATGGTTAATGTTTAAGGTTTTGTGTCTATGGGATGTAGGTAGGGTTGTGTGACTAAACCCCTTAATTGGAATACCTGGAAGAATTTGAAATCAACGAATTAGTTCAACAAAACTACACTAAAGTGTTGCACAAACTCTTCTGAGATATTCTTTGTATAGTTTTTTAAATAAGTAAGGAGATTTTGTTCGTATCTTATTATCGACACTTTTGTGTTGTTGCACTTAAACATCGTGTAATCTGCTTTTTAGAAGCATATTTGTATACACATCTTTGTAAATAAAAGGTTTTTGATAGGTTCCTTGAGATACTCGGTGAGTCATGATTCTCAAGAAGACTTTGGCTGCGGTCATCGTGGATTGACAATAAGGATCAACGGATTTGTTAGGGTTGTCAACAAGGTTGGTCAGCCTTATTGTGGTTGTCTGTAATCAGTTGATTATAGTTGATTAAGTCCTTATGGATAAGGCAAGTCACCTTGTGGGGTGGACTGGAGTAACTTAGTTAACGGGATAAAAATGATTGTGTTCATCTATTTTTTATTTACTTGTTAGCTTTGTGTTTGAGTTGCGAAAAGATTATATTTGGTGCAACCCAATTCAAACCCCTCTTTCTTGTGTTTCTCGCATCTTCAATTGGCATCATAGCTCTGGTTTTTGTATTGATTATTATCAAACACTTAACCATGTTAGATAAAGATCCAAATGGGTTTTAGAAACACTATGGTTGATCCTACTCCACCACCACCAGCTGTAGTTTTTAATAACGATAACCGCAATGCTAAACCTCCTATTTTTTATGTTGAAAAGTTTGAGTACTGGAAAGACAAACTAGAAAGTTTCTTTCTAGGTCACGATGTTGATCTTTGGGATATGGTAGTTGATGGCTACGAACATCACACAAATGCTACTGGGGAGAACCTCGAAAGGAGAACTATGATTGGTTAACAAAAAAAGGATTGTAAGAATCATCATAGAGCAAGAACCATCTTGTTGAATGCTATTTCTTATACTGAGTATGAGAAGATCAAAAATAGAGACTCAACTAAGTCTATATTTGACTGTCTCAGAATGACTCGTGAAGGGAATGATGAGGTCAAGAAAACCAAGGCTCTGGACTTAATTCAAAAGTATGAAGCCTTCAAGATGAAGGATGATGAAACAATTGAGACTATGTTCTCAAGGTTTTAAACCTTAGTTGCAGGACTGAGAGTTCTGAACAAAGGATGTTCAACGTCAGATCATGTGAAGAAGATCATTAGAAGCATGTCATCCGAATGGAGGCTTATGGTGAATGGTCTGAAGCTTGCAAAGGATCTCAACAACATTTCTCTAGAAGAACTGGTAAGTTCTTTGAGAAGTACAAAGCTCTTAAATATGAAGAGATTGAGGATTCAGAAGAAGATTCTGATAAAGATGAAGATTAGTTGTCACTTCTGTCCAGAAGGGTAAACCGTCTCTAGAAGAGAATCAAGGCAACATGTTCAGAAGTACTAGAAAGACAAGAGGTCGCTTTGAGTCTACTTTTGGTTGATTGAAGTCTAGTGGCAAAGAAGTCACTTGTTATGAGTGCAATGAGCCAGGACACTACCAGAACGATTATCCTGAACTTTAGAAGGACAAGCTCAAGAACAAAACTCTCAAAAGTAAGAAGAAAAGACTGATGGCAACCTGGGATGACTCTGATTCTTCAAAAGATGACTTAGAAGAAGAACATGTTAACATGGTGATGATGGCTCGTGTTATAATTTCTAACGAAAAGATCCCTCCAGAAGATGAAGCAGAATCTAATTCATACATAAAAGAGGTATTCTCCAAAGAGGTATTTTCTAACCTTACTCATTTTGAATTAAATTTTTGTTTACTTGAAATTATGGAAAAACATAAGTTACTCAAGATTAAATTCAAGGAACTTAAGAAGTCCCATGAATCCACATTCTCTGAAAATAGTAAGCATAAGGAAAATCTCTTTATTATTAATGAATAAATTTTTTTCTTAAAGATGAGAACTCTAATCTCAAAGGCACGAGAAATCTTCCAGAAGCTTATGAGAGTACTGATGTCATTAAGAAATATGACAAAGCTTTTCATAATTTCTTAGCTAGAAGCATAGGGAGAAGTATGATGGCTTCCATGATCTATGGCGTGAGCAGAAATAGGACCAATGGTGTTGGTTACAATTCCTATGATGAATCTAATTTTGATAAGGAAGACAAACATATTACTCTTCATTCCCATTTTGTCTCTGCTGGGTTTGTGCCAAAAGCTAATGGAAAAGAAAAAGAGGAATCTGCTTCTGAACCTAAAGCAAAACCATTGGCTAAATCTTCTTGTTTTAATTCTTGTAAATATGATTATTCTGCTGCTAAACCCAAAGTTGTTAACAACTCTAGGAGAACTAATAAAATAGGATCCAAGAAACTATGGGTATCCAAGGAACAAATAATCTATGTGGCAGATATTCTTAACAGCGCAGTTGAAATGCCAGTTATGGTACTTGGACTCTAGCTGCTTGCGACACATGACAAGAAGAAGGCATATGTTCCAAAGCCTGGAATTTAAGCCTAGAGGCGTCATGGGTCTCTAAGGTGATTATAAGGGAATGGTCATAGCCTCCGGAACAGTTGATAATGGGTGAAGTTCTTGGTCAAGGATGAGTCACAATCTGCATTACATTCAGAACACAGTCTCTCAAAAAGACTCCATATGAACTATGATTAAACAAGAAGACTACAAATTTATTACTTTCATCTCTTTAATGCTCTTGTTTATCTTGAACTAAAAAATAAGGAGAATCTTAACAAGTTTGATTACAAAGCTCAAAGTTGTACCATAGTAGGATATTCTGAATGCTCAAAAGGCTACATAGTATACAATGATGAAACACTTATTGTTGAAGAATCAATTGATGTTAAGTTTAATAATTAGATTGACCTTGATAAGTCAAAGCTATTTAGAAATTTGAAGATATGGAGATTACCTTTTCAGACTTTGAAGGTAATGAAGCTTCTACAGAAGGACAAGACGTCAAAGACTCAGAAGATGCTCATCCAGAAGCTGCTGAAGCACAAACTAGATCTTCTGTCAATCTTTCTGAAGCGACGCTTCTAGGTTTGGTTTCCCTGATAGAGCCTACATCTATTGATGAAGAGCTTCTAAACAAATATTGGATTTTTCCTACTAGAAGTACTCTATCGCTTCTTAGAAAATTGATTACGTGAGTGGAAAATACTTGCTCTCAGCGTGTTGCC